CATTAAAATTTTTAAATTAATAACTATAAAAAAACTACCCACAATTGTTCTTTATTATTCAAATTATTGATTTATAGTATTTTCTGATTTATGTCCCTATTAAAGTAAAGAGTTATAAATTTTGTTTCTCAAAAAGAGACATAAGTAATTTGTGAAATTTTATATACTAAATACTTTAGGGACCCATCATTAGTAATGTGCGAGCTGATTAGGAAATCTTCATTGATCACTAATACCAATGGCTATTAGTAGGATATGTCTATTATGAGGTTAAGTACTATTCTTCTTATAAGAAATTAAATAGATAAGTAAATATATTCATATTTAGATAGAAATGGATTTAATTGATAATATACTGAAAGACTTTCAAATTACTCATGTGAATACCAATATACTATCTAGATCTTCCTGATTACTTCCTTCCTATAAGCCTTAAAATTATAAAATCACCCTTTTGATCTTCAACTTATCTCCATAAAAATTCAGTAGAAATTTCTCTCCTCAGACCTTCCTACAGGAGAATTTAGAACAAAACAGGCATGTGTCAAGAAACAAGATTGACACTTGCTCAAAGTGACACATAACCATCCAATTTTCTTTTTATTTTATTTTTATTTTTATGATACCAGTATGCTCTAGAGAGCAATAAGTCTTGATGTAACTTTAGAAATAGCTTTAGCTTATCGTTATCTTTATCATCCCTGAATATACACCCTTATACACACGCACAATGTATATACAGTATGTAATTTGAAAAACAATAAAATTGGGTATGAGCCCATCAAAAAAAAAATAATAATAATAATAAATATAATATCTCCGTGAAAATTTTTCCGGTTTTAGATGCCCACTACTGTATGTACTTTCTCAGGAACATGAAAAACATAAAGAGAATATGCAATTAGAGGACTTAAGAGTTCTATATACTTGGGATCAAGCTTAATCAGAGGTTTCTCTTATTATACAAAATAATTTACCACTGCTATAATCACGTGTCGATATAGATACTACTGATCTAGATAATTTTTTCAATTTTTACACTCGCGAAAAAAAAAAAAAATAATAATGGAAATCGACGAACAAGGCACTGCTTTTTCTCTTAACAGTATCCTCGATTGGATTTTTTTTATATTTTAGATACTTTTAGAGAATTCCTTAGCACTTTAAAATTCAGTCTTGGCACTAACTAATGAAGCACGCAATACTTACGGTCTTCGACACCAAGATTATACACGATACAGGTGAGCATGACTAATAAATTTCAGAATAATGTTAGTTATTTCTTAATACATTTGGTCAAAATTCTTAGGCAGTATTGTGCGAAAAAGATACATCGTCTTCGTACTTCTTTGAATTTCACACACTGCAAAGGCAAGTTTACGCAACCTCAAAAAATAACTGATGCAGTTCTAAACGATGCGAGGTAATTTATATTTGTAATAATTATTTCAACCCATAAAGATATATATATGAAATAATATACCTATTTATTTAGATATTTGCACATTTCGTTGTTTGATACCGAAAGAGCATGGTGCTATGCCATGGAATTAAAAAGAGAGTCTAGAACAACTGGTGATACGCGTAAAAGACACCATTTGATCAAAAAATTAAAAAAAGCCGCGAATCTAGCTGCCCAATTGGAACAGTTATGTTCGCGAGAAACTGGCAAAGTAGACACCAGAACGGTTCTAGAGGCCCAGGTTAATATAATATATGATCTCTAGATAGTTTCAGGAAACAATTCTATACTTACATAACGTTATAAAAGGCGTATTCTGCTTTAATATCTGGTTATCTACTATTTGAAAAACAAAGTTGGCAAAATGCATTGGATAAATTCGCCGCAGCAAGGTATTTGTTATAATTATAGCAAATACTTACACAAACTCTATGGTCTTCTTTTCACATATTTATTTAATAACAGGACAATATATGAAAAATTGTCTGCTGCAGGAACTTCTCATCAGGAAACACTTTGCCAATCTGCGATTGACGATATAGATCCCAACATTCGTTACTGCGCGTACGTGCTACGTTTGGGTTCAGATGGCGCCTCGAGCGTAGAGGATCTTGTTAAAATGACTATGGGAAAAAGTAAGGGTGTTGGTTTGGACTTGTTAGAGGCTGAAGTTGAGGCATGAAAAAAATTTTGTACTACTCTACAAGTTGATATTTAAATAATTGAATTAAGCTTATTTGATTAATGTATTTATAGTCTGTCCTTGCTCAGTCGCGTCAAGAAAAAGCTGCATCGTTGACCTCTATATCTTGGCGGGGCCGTATTGTCCCACTAAGGAATGCAAACCTTGCGATTTGCATCTTGAAAGCTCGCGAAGCTACGACAGACCTGGAGAATGCTTCAGATGCTGATGCTGAAGAGGCGACTAAAATGGAAATGTTTGATAAGCTTCTTGAAGCTTATGGAGATGCCGAAAGGTTCGCCAAGAATGCCGTAAAGGAAGATGCGGTAAATATCACTTGCCTGCCTAAAAAACTTATTGTGTTTCAATAATATAGATATATAATTTCTTTAGGATGCAACCGCGAAAGTTAAATCTTCTAAATCTGAAAAAATTTCTGCGGATCTGAATTTTGTTTACAATTATGTGGCATACAATTATCTGTGTCGTAGAATTCAGCGTAATTTGATGCTTGTGGATTCTCTTAAACAATTGGAAACTCAAGAACAGTCTGGTACCAGGCTAGCTGGTGGAAAATATCAAGATATTGTAAAATTGTATGATAACGTATTGCAGGTATTTGGTGTCGACTCGAAGCATGTTTCGAAAGTGACTAAGTTTTGTTAAGTGTGTCTACACTCTTTGTAGAGCTTGAATGAGATCAAGGACCTTCCCGAGATTCAAAATGATCCCTCTCTATCTCATGAAATTGATGCCAAGATTTGGTATTTCAAAGCCTGGCGGTAATTATTGACTAGTTGTTGATTTAAAACAACATATTTTATTCTTTAATTTAATTAATTAATTTATTTTTTGATAAGGACTTTATATGTTGCATCTGCTTATTTCATTTTGAACAAGGAATTGGAGGCTATTCTTTTATACGAACGTGCGAACGAATATAATTTGCAGGCAAGAAAAACTTTATCTAGGATAGAACCCGATAATGATGACATATTACTTGTTACCGAAACAGACATGGAAGTTTTGGAAAAACTCTTGAGGAGTCATAAATGCAGAGCCCGTGCAGCGTGGCATCTTCATCATATTGGGTCAGATGATTCTGACGTTACCAAGAAACTAGGCGAATTAAATATTGACGAGAAATCAAAAACTGAAAACAAAGAAGATGAGGTAATCGTCTTTTTTTTTTTTTTTTTTTTTTAAAAAAAAAGGTATAGGTAATTGATTATTCCTCATTGTAAAATCCCTAATCAGGTGCCCTTGATTGAACGCCTTAACCAGTATCCATCAAATATTTCGATTAATAACTTGAAATTGATCAATTTTCCACCGGAATTCACGCCTATTCCAGCGAAGCCGTTGTTCTTCGACATAGCTTTTAATCATGTTAACTATCCATCTAATCTGTCTCAACGCGCTGGTCGAAAACAAGATGGGACAAGTCGATTTAGTGTCTTCTTTGATAGTTTATGGGGTTCTAAAAAGTGAATCCTTGAAACTATGGAAATTATTATAGACGATTCAAATTTATTTATAAAAGCTAAACCTCCGTTTTAGGCTAATATTTCAAAGCAACAGGAGGATAACCTATTTTATTTCACAACGAAAAAAGATATTTTGTGAAGAAAAAAACGGATTTGGGATCAACTCTAATAATAATTAGTACAAGTTTTATTTTACATTCACTAATAAAATTTCGTGAAATAGTACTATTAAATATGAAATATTTTTTATATAGTTACAGTGTGGGACACTTGCTTTTGGAAAATTTTAATTAATTATAATTTGATTAAAAATTTTATTAATATAAAAAAATTTTTTACAATATATTTTTTAGAATCTAAAAAATTATTTATTAAAGTTTATTTGATGATTTATTAATAAGTTTATTTTAAAGTTTTATTATAAAATTTAAAAGAATTATTTTATTATTTTTTTTTTGCCCTCTATTAGGCTAGTTACATATACTTTATTAAACATTTGTAAGCTGTACATATAACATGAGATGCTAAAGCTAATTCTTTAACTAACTCACTCATTTTGATTATTTTACCTTTCTAAGTGCAACTTAGGGAGTAATTTATCACTCCATTAGGAGTTCAGGTAAATACCCTTCCAACTTCTAATATCATTGCCTGCAGATCACTCTTTTGAGTTCTGACAAAGATTAAAACTTAACCATTTCATCCTATACTTTATCTCATTTCACAAGACCTGTTTGAGCATCATATTTTCTAATCCTTCTTCCTTTAATAGTACTTGATATGATCAATTTCCTGGTATCTTGGTTCTATTTTTTTGCTTCTATAGATGTTTAGTCTTTTAATCTTATTATCTCAGTTGATTTTTAATATTCATTCCTACTTTATTATCTTCTTGTATTGACATTCAAAATTTTCTTTCTCAAGTGATTACATATTTTCTTCTACATTTTCATTATCTACTTTTTTGTTTCTTTACTAATTCTCTTTCTATAATACTTCGAGTCTACTATTTTATTCATTAGATCTTTTTTAATTAGTCCTATACAGAAGTTAAATATATCCTGATCAATATTTGAGATCCTTTTCACTAGTTGAGCTATTTTCTTATCCATTTCTTCTCTTTCTATTCTGTTATCAACTACCAGTCCTATTTTTTTTTCTTCTGACTCCTTTTTCCTATTTGCCAGGAGTTTATTGAAACCTTGTATCATATCGTCCATACTCTTTTACCAAGTTTCTTTGCTACTAAGTTTTATATGCTAGACATTCTAGCAAGTATTCTATTGTCTCTTCTTGCTATTTACATATGAGACATTTTACTTGCTTGTATAAGTCTGGTTTTCTTGTGACTAACTTTGTTAACATAAGTAACTTGTTACTAGGCATATTAATAAGAAAGCTTTTTCTTTGTAATTCTTTAAAAGAGGTATTCCATATATACTCATTATTCATTTGTTCCTAGACTAGATCCCCTATGTGTCTGTGCTAATCTTAGATTTGATAACCCCACTTTTTATCTATTTTATTTTGAATTATCCATTGATATATCATTATTTTGATATTAGTTTTTTTAACAAACTGCCTTATTGAAGCATTCAGTACTATATCTTACCATTTGATTTTGGTAATAATCTTAGGTAAGTTTAGATCTTGTCATTCTATTGTTGGGAACTTTAATACTTCTTTGGTTATAATATCTGTTTCCTCATTGTATTGAATATTGGAGTGTACTTTAACCTTGATAAGATTTAGATCTAATTCTTTTTTCTTTATCAGGTTTAATATTCATATCCATAAGAATCAATTTTGTTTCTTTGACTATCTTTTATGGATTTTTTGGGATCCTCCTTTTTTATAGTTTTCCATTTGAAGATGTAGGCTTGACTGTCAGTGTAAATCTTGATCTTGTTATTAACTGGTATAACTAGTAGTATAGTAACTATTACTACTAGTTGTGCTTTTGTAGATAAAGGCCAATCAGCTACCCCTGTTTGAAACTTACTTTCCCTTCTTGTTTCTCCAATTTGTATTTATACTGCACCTATCTTCATATTTTCATTTCCATGATCAACAAAAGATTCATCAGAGTAAAAGGTTATTGTGTTATTGCTATTATCCCTCTTATTATGCCTGAGTATTTCAATTAGGTGGATTTGATACACATCTTCTTCAATATTCTCTTTAATAAACTTCTCCTCCCAGTTCTCTATCTCTATTTCTTTCAATTGCCTTCTATTATATTGTGTAGTCACTGAGTCTATATGAATTGTTCTACTTATTGTTCCCTCTAGAGATATCTTGAAACAAGAGATTTATAAAAGTTAAGCTTCCCTTGTAGATTTCCTAGTATTAAAATAAGGAACTATATATTATATATTTGTTCTATATTTGATTTTACTATGCATTGATTTTCAGTCTTGATCCCTTTTGGGTAGCCTTAGCATTGTATCAAGTTTGATTCTAAGTTTTTCTTAGAGTTGTTACATTTGAAATAATCTATTTTAATATATCTTTTATTGTTACATAGAATCAATTTTTCCTAAACAAGTTGTCACTGCTAATTATTGCTCTTGGAGATCATCCCAGGTTTTTATCTTTTATCAAGGTTAAGATTGAATATTAAATATTCTGAATTTCACTTTGACCAATCTTCTTTCTAAGATTGTATGAGCTGTTCTACCTTGTTTTCTTGCATCCTCCTTGTTATTGATAAGTACCATTCTGGAATAGATTCTTTACTTATTTTTTGTAAGAGTTGAAGCATTCATCAGTCCCATATTTCTCTAGTTTCATAATTAATAAGCTGATTTACTGTATATATATTAACTTATTGTATTTGAGTAATGGAATGGCTTTACTGTATTTATCAGTTATCAAATAATCTTTAATTGGACTATTTTTGATACTCCAATTAAAGACATTATTTCACTTCCAGCTATGAAAGGTTACCACCATATCTTTGATTAGTTTCAGTACTTGTAATGTGAAATTGTCCCTTCCTGGAAAATAGTTTAGTGAGTTACATGTGAGCAGATTGAGAGGTTTCCAGTATTTAATCTGTGATTACTTTAACCTGATAATTGTTATGATTCCAGCTAACCCTAAATCATTTAATCTATTGTATAATTCTATTATCTGATTTTCTTTTTGCAATATTCAAACACTTTTTAAATTGTACTATTAGGTATGGATTACATAGTGTGGTTTTATTTTTGAAAAACTTTTTATATACCATTATTAGAACATTACACATTTACCAGGATAGTATATTATACTGTATTCTGAATTCAATTCTAGGTATTAGGATTCTTTTCGGAATATAAAGTGCTTACTTATCAGTTAACTTTTTGTTCTTTAGGAACCTGATAACCATGTTAATTTTTTTAAGCATCTATTCTTTGAACTCAATAGCAGATTTCTGGTTATCTATTCAAATCCCTAGGAATCTTGTTTGTTCAGCTCTATCTAATTCTCTAACTACTTATCTATCAACTTCTGCTTAAACCTCTTCTGAATATTGGTTAAAATTGTTAATAGTAATTAATATTGATTTGTTACTATTAATCTGCAAGTTATTTGCTTTATAAAAGATTCTTGCTTCTTTCAAAATCTTTTTCATATCCTCTTTGGATCTTGCTATCCATGTTGTATTATCCATGAATATAATAATTACATGTCTTGACTCTAGCTTTCTTCTAGTATTTTTCTTTAACTCTAGATCCCAAGTCACTGACATTTTGTAGTTTTTTGTTTTATCATTTTGAATTTTGCACAATAAAGAGTCATAGAATATTCTCTATATTAGTGGTGAGATAGTTTCTTCTTGATTAATTTCATCTTTTGCTATGTTTACTTCAGTTAGATCTTTCTCAAATATAATCAAATTTTCAATTTCAAAATAGACTTATTATGATTTAAATAAAACCTTCTAATATTTTGATTCTATTCATTGCCTTGATTAATATATTCAAGCTAATAGCATTGTATGCTTTTGCTATATCTTGAAAAAGTATCCATAACTCTTTTTTATTTTTTCTTGCTTTCTCACAAATATTATTGAGAATTTGAATCAATTCTGCTATACTTTCTCCTGGTAATCCTGCATAATTAGGTTCTCTCAGAATATTGTAATCTTGCAGATAGCATTTTTATGTAACTTCTAGTAATACTATTGATCTGGTATTGAAGAGTTTACATTTTCATGGATTTGACTTTGCTATGGGATATATATGACTTTGTTTCTATTTTATTGAAGTAATTTCCCACCTTAGAAGGTAGTTAAGCATCTTTCTAAAATATTCTTTTCCTTCTTGATCCAGTCTTTTTAGTATTTCATAGTTAATTTGTGATCTTTTTAGAGCTTTATTATTGGAAGTCCTTGAAGCATTTTATATAGTTTTTCTTGAGAGATTGGCTTCAGTAAGTTTTTATATCATCTTTTTTAATATAGTCTTTAGGATTGTATTCTTTTTTCCAATCTTCTATAAGGTTGTCAAAATTGGCATTTTATTTTTTGAATGTCTCATAATAATATCTCCTTATTTCTCATTTAATTTCTTTCTTCTTAATAGTTATATATTTCTATTCTTCATTTTTAATCTTGATTTTATCCAGTGTTATTTTGACCTGCTCTCTGTCAGTCAAGAAGTTTACTATTCTTCTTTAATTGTTATGTAAGTCATCACA